CGGACACGTGACTTACTAAAAATCTACCGAACAGCGATACATTTATGAAAATACCGTAGCACAGTGACGGCGAACCTACACTCATCGACTTAAGTCACCTCACAGCCGAAACCGGCATCGCACAAACAACAATTCTGGATATTTCTAGATGTGACACAGCGCCCGAGTTAAGCTACGTTTTTTCCCCGTTCTTCGCCGTCACTGCCCTGGCATAAAGTAACATTCTATTTCCTTCTCGTCACAATCCCCCAACATTTATTCCCGACCAGAGAGAGGGAGGCTTACACACAGAAATGTGATGCATACGTTATGAACAGTTCCCTGTCCTCATTCGTCAAACCGACAAACTGATGGCTGTTGTTTCCAATCTCGAAACATTGCCCGTAACATGAAAATAGAACACAAGCCCATGTTTTCCTCTACTTCGCCCGCTTAATTTATCACGAGCCCTCCCTCTGCAATTCTTTCGAGACGTCGACAGCCGCTAATGCGATTACACCCGTTGGTATAGCGCAGGAGGAGGAGGGAAGTTTGATTCAGGACGCAAACATTCGGGGGACACGTAACGTGGTTGAAACGTGTTGGACACGGTATCGGCTGGTATTCGGGGTAGACGTCGATACGCATAATCGAGGATAGCGGGCTCGTTAATCGTCGATCGCGAAACGTTACGCAGTGGCTGACGATAAACCGACCTGGCTTATGGATTTCGACCACCATCGTTACCCGATAATCACCCGGATTATGGATACCGGTCAAATAAAAATTCCAATAAAGACGGAGCTTCCTGGGATCTACACACGGCTACGGGGTTTATCGCGGTAACGAGTCTGACTAGCGGCGTGGCTCTACTACTGCCGCGGGATCCCTCCAGCCGTAGCAGAGGAGGTGGAGGAGGAATCGGAGCCGATCGCATTGTGAACACCGCGCGAGAATATCTGATGTATCTGTAATTATCGCTGCCGGATATTGCGCAGAGTGTTCGATAATGGCGGGTGCCGGTAATAGGTGTTCGGTAATAAGCTCTGGTGGCATTGAAATTACTTCCACGCTACCGGATATTCGGCCGTGGTGCGAAAACTCCCATCGGTCTGTCAATGTCAACGTCTTCGAAACGCGTAATTCGTCGGATTTGTTAGGATGTGCTCGTGGTAGTTACAACCAACTTTCGAGCTTTGTCGAATTTCGCACGTGGTGTGCCGACTGAATCTAATAGGTTCGTCTTCGAAGGACGACCTCTGTGAATAGGAGGACAAAACAACTATTGCTAATGGTCTAAACTTCTAAAAGAAGCGACTCTTGGAGGAAGGATCCCACGACACCTCCGTGCGAGGACGCATCGCGGGGGTGAGGCCCTCGGATAGGTTGAGGACATTTTTCGATAGTGGTGGGGAAGGGGGGTTGGCGAAAACTATTGGTTAAAATCATAGGTGGGAAGACTACACGAAAATGCCACCCCCTAGACCATAGGTCACTCTCAGGTACCAAGCGTACCCTTGAGCGACGCACGCGGGAATTCCGAGTCCCTCGAACAATCACCGTAGCAGACACGCTTCGGCTCTGGTGACCATATGAATGCAAAAATGTACAAGTTAAAAAAGGGGCGAAGATTCTAAGTCGAAAACAAGGCAATAAAGGTGAAAGCAAGTCCTTAGATTGAAAGACTACCGTGGCGTTGTAAAATTACCGCTGCTATGAAACGAGCGAAGGCGAAAAATATATACAATAGAACTACATGCTAAGAAATGTAAGGGTCGGGCGGCCGACATACCTGTCGAGGATTAAACAGGATTTTTCTCGCCTATACGAAATTTCTCCGTCTACCGCGGCCTCTCTAGCTCTGCGATCGTCGAGATTATTTTTCTCCAATCGTTGAGAGCCTTCGCGCTTTTCTCGTGCCGCCACTCGACGATACGCGAGCGTTTTCTAGCTTTCCCGGACGATATTTCGCGATGTTTGCTCAGCTTGTGACGCGTTTATCGGTCGGCCGTTATGCCGCGCGCGACCAAGCTTTATGGCCGTCCCTATTTTATTGGCACAACACCTAACCGAACGGATATTTTGCTTCGTCCGCTGAAAATACACGCTCTCGTCCCCTTTCTTCTTTTTCCCCTCTGTGTTTTCGTTTGGTTTTTTAGAATTCCTCATTTTTCATCGCACACGCGTACATACATACGTATACCGGGTGTCTCTGTCTATCGAAGCTTGCCGAAAGCAGGGCGGAAAATTTTCTACGAGGCTAGGCGAGCCGCCGTGGCGGGGGAGGGTATGGAATATTCGAAGCTCGCTTTGTCATCGTGGCTCGCGCGATCGCACAAAGCACGCTCGTTGCGAAATGTCGTTACATACC